CTTAAACCACGGCCAGACTTTCATTGGCTGCCTTTGCATTTGTGTGTGTGTGAGTGTGTTTTTAAAGAAAACTCCTCTCATTTGATTAAAAAAAGATACAGAGAGCAATAAATTACTTGTCATTTTGGGAGGTGACTAGCACGTTAAAATATCGCCCATGTTACGCAACCTCCAACAACAACACAGCTTTTTATGCCCAGACGGTTCTGTAACGACAGCACACACTACTCAGTACTCAGAATGGCTGAGGAAAAAACTACTTTGTTTGGGGGACAAATCTACGCACGGCTCTACGATCAAAGCCCCATTTGCAAAATGAAAGCCACCACTTTTCAGTTTAAAACCAGGATTAAACTGGAGTTGGACCAAAACTGTCCCACAAGATGGATAAAGTGAATGAAGGGTGTTGGTTCTCAGTTTGGGGCCATCATTTAATGCTTAATTACACAGCAGTCCATGGCCTATGCTGAACAAATTACAAAACTGACCCACCTGCTAATCAAAAACTAGCAGCCCGTCACCAATAGCAGAATCCTGTTACTAATTGTCAGAGAAAAATTAAAAACAGAAATGCACAATGAAGTGATTTGGTCCAGCACACAGTACAAAGGGAACCTATTGTTTCTGCGGGAGTATAATACTGTACATACCACATACATAACAATAATGTTACAGCTGGATTTGCTATGAGAAAAATAAACATTTTCTTTTCGTTGTGGAAAATCCTCTTTGCGGTCGGAACACATTTCCAAAAGGGAAAATGTAATGGCAAATTTACCGATTTCATTTAAAAAGCTCTGTAACACAAAGCACACTGTTCAGAAAGAAAATATTTAGACAAGCCAATCGGTAACACAACCATAAGCCTGGGTGGGACAGGGGCTTCAAATGAGTTTTGTTTTCCTCCTGTAGAGGTGGTAGCTTAGTCAATCGGGTTATTATTCTACAATCTTAGATTCTAGGCATATATGTGCCTCCTTGGCTACTTTGTTATAAGTGACCATGACTGTTCCAAATCACAAAGATTCTGATTGGCCAAGGACCTTAACATACAAGGAATCAGTCTTGGTGGGTGTGATCTAGCATGACAATGACCATTTCCAGACAATTCAGTATGCACACATGAAAATTTTACACGACTGTTACGGAGTGCACCGACAATCAGAAGCGCCGTAGGATGTAATGGTGGGTGAGATGAATAAATGTATGAATGAATGAATGAATGAATGAAGGAACGAACAAACAAGCAATAACGTAAGTGAACTGGGGTGATGCTAGGAGGAGTTTTCTATATTCGTATTTTGCGGTCGGTAGAAGAGCTAACGCTGCTGGAAATCGGGTACAGCAGGCAGCCAAGGCCTCACCCACGTCGCCGAGCCGCGGCTCATTATTAGGGCTCCAAAGTAAGGCAGAGGGACTCGTTTTAGAGTTAAAGCAGGCCGTGCAGATTGCATCGCTGCGTCTGAATGAGCGAGAACGAGGCAGAGAGCGAGAGAAAGGAGCTGGTAAAATATCTATGAATCCCGCAGGCCGTGCTGCCTCATTGTGTCTCGAACGCCTGCTTTCTTTCAGCAAGCCAGCTGTCTAATCCCAAGAGGCCGGCCTTGGATGAGTTGCGAAAAAAGTGGGATTCCTGGAGCTGCCTATAGTCACTTCATCATGGAGTGAGAGAGAGAGAGTGTGTGTGTGTGTGTGTGTGTGTGTGTGGGGGGGGGGGGGCTTCGACCATGTTTAGAATCTGTTTTAGATTTTTAAAAGCCTGTTGATTAAAGACGTGCTAATTAATGACTGCTGCCAGGCTCACAAATCATATCTGTGCGGCAATTCTTAATCCAGAACCAAACAGGTTTTTAGCACTGCGATTTAGAATGTGTAACCTAATTAAATCCAAATGGAGTCTTTTTTTCCCCCAGATGATAGTACTGTTCAGGATGACACTGGGAACTAAAACCTGTGTTATGCACATCTTTGTGTTCATTTCCATGTTATCTCTGCAGAGATTCTTAATCTGGGACCAAACACGTTTTTAATTACTGCTAATTGAAATGTGTAACCAAATTAAATTCAAATTACATTCCGCCCCTTCCTCCCCAGATGACAGTAGCACTCAGGGAAAAGATTAACAGTAGGGACTGAAACTCATGTTATCTGTATCTTTCAATTAATTTCCATGTAGCAGGTTTATACTAAACTAGTCAAATGACTTGACCAATAGCAGTTAAAGCTTTGTAACTAAACTGATGCATGCAGATACTGTACAAAGAATGCACATATAGTTTCTTAAGGAGCATAATTCACAACATTAAATGAGAAATTAAACTTTGTACTTGTATTTCCAAGAAGATTTATATATAAATACTGTTATATATTGTGGTGCAGCACAGAGCAGCGGGCAGAAAGCATGAATAAATAAAATTGTATCTCTCCCTGCATCTCTTTCAGCAGATTAAACCACAGCCAAACTCCAGGCCATTTTAAAGTTGAGGTTTGGGAGGATCTGGCCGCAGACCAAAATCACAATGCTCGCTGCGGAAAAGGCTCACTTTCAGAAAAGCCCGTTTCTTTTTTTTTCCGCCTCGCTCCGATGAATTAGCGCAGGAACATCAGATGGTTTCACTCAGATTACAAGAATCCATGCCGCCGTAACAGGCTTGGGTATAAATCCTAAGAAAATTAATTTACATCTCACACTCTGCATGCTCTCGAGAAGCCTCCACTTTATCAGTGCTGATGTGCTTTCATTTCATGCCTGACCTTGCCTGAAACATGAGTTTCTCTAAATGAGAAGGAGAAACTTTAAGAGCTTAATCCTACAGCTCACTTCGTTCTGCTTCAGCAAGGGGGTGTTTTAATAAAGAAATAATCTTAAGTTGTTTCTTGATGACACACCCCTCGCACAAATTATTTCCATTTACCTTTATAAAGACACAGACACTTTATTCACATCATAATATCATGAATGAATGCCAAAACTAAATTTTAATGTCACTACAATTAGATGCAGATGTTAAATTACGGTGAACAAAAACCTACATTTCGCTAACAAGTGCCACATGCGTGAAATCGAACTATGAGAAACAGAAATCTGTATTTCTCATGGGCGCAAATGCGAACGAATGCATCGCCTCTATCTAAGATTACTAGCAAGTTAAGCAGAGAACCTATGAGAGATGAAGGGTGTTTTTTTATGGAGGAAAGAACAGGAGTCATCCATTAATGTATCAATTATTGATATGAAGAGCATTAAAAGAGGAATAGGGGGCAGATCGAGGAAGGCATAATTTAGCACAAGGCCACATCGCTCAGCGTTCAGAGTGCTCCACATATTGTTGATATCTGGGTCAATGCCTGAGACTGAAAAACACATAAGTATCCCATCTTTATTTGTATTGTTAAAGGAGACTGCGATATCTACATTCACAATTACAACAGAGGGCTGGTTCTTTCATTCTTTCATTATTGCTATGAAGAGTTAAGCTAACACTGTAACTAGAGGTGCAACTGAGAATAGATCAATGGCATCGGAGAGTGTTTGATATGGGAATGGGACACTTAATAACATAAGGCAAATGACTATTTATAGGTGGATTGAAGGATGCCAAACACACCCACTCCTAGAGGAGATCTACAATTATCTACGTAATTCTCAATACTGAGGTGAGGGCCATCAAATTACAGATATCAAGATTAGACACTATCATGACTGAATTTCTCAGTAATGTTTATAATCACTGGCTCATTCACATTAAACCGAGCTGCTGGAATACTGTTTGACACGAAGGGGCTCCTGTCTTCAGTGACAAGATCACCTGCAATCTACCCCTGTACGACACTCCGCCTGTCAGTGAGGGGGCAGCTGGCATGAAATTGCTGATTCAGCTCCTAAGGTTGTGGGTTTGAATCTCTACCTGGCAGGGTGACTTTGCAGTGTGGATGTTCTATCCTTGTTGCCTTAGCTACCTGTGGGTACTCTGGATTCCACCTGAGGTTCAAAGACATTCACATAGGGTAAATGACGTCTGAAACGCCTGTAATGTGTGACTATGTTTGTGTAAGTGCCCATCATGGACGGGCGTACCGTCCGCGGCGCAACCTTTCCTTGTGCCCTAGGCTGCCTGGGATAGGCTCGTAAGGATATACGATAGGAAGACAGATTTAGAATAATGATCATCGTCCTCATCATCGCAGAAGATCGCTCCAGGGCTGAGACAGTAACCCCCCCACCACCACCCCTTAAGAAAAGAGGGGAGCCACGCTGAGCGCGCGCACGCGGACACGCGAAGCGCAAGCCGCAGCAGAATCGTCAGCTGCCTGGACGAGATCCCGAAACAAGCTTCACTGAAATAATTTTTCTTTAAAACAAAAAAAAAAACGCGGTCTATACCCAAGAAATTTGGGCTATTATGAGAAAAGCAAGTTTTTCTTTGACAGAGCGAGAAATGTGCTCCTCTGCCTTACCTGCGATTGGCTGACATGCAAGTACAACAAAGCACTAGGCAGCAGTATTTTAACTGTGTGACGGCACGCCTGGTGCTGACTGTTTATCTCCTCATTAGCAGACAGATTACATTTCTCGAAACTTCTATGTGGGTTTTTTTTAGCAAGCCTGTGTCGTCCAAGGTAAACAGCACTAAAAACCAACGAACTCTTATACAATTGTAAATAAGTTCCTCGTTCTAACACAGCGCGGGTAATGGCTATCAGAGATGCACTATAAGACTATTACCAAAAGCAAACAGTGATCGATGCACGTGTTAATTACAGATAAGTGTTCTTTGCTGAAAATGTAATTTCAACTGAGTGCAGCTCTTCAAAATCAGATAGGCCTACATTAATATACAGTAATGCTAACCTGAGCCCAAGGAAAAACGTGGTATTTGGCTTTTAAACAGTGTTCCTAATTTGAAATCCTAATTTTAAAACAGAATCGGATATTAAAGCATTACTCCTGGTTCTGTATAAGAGCAGCGAGATAGTGAAAGACCACAGATTTTGCGTACTTATCTCTCCATGCTCTTGCCGTTGGTTACAGCGCCGTCTAGTGGCTAACCTCGCGTCGTTGCTACAACACTGCAAATGTTACTTAATTGCGGACATCGAGAACACGCAAAAATATCAAACATTCCTGAAAAATACGTATGTGATAAAAAAAAATAATGTCTGTGATAAAGACAACAACCTGAATCAGTGGACATTCAAAATGTAATTATTTTAAAAATCTGGAAATGTACTCCTGTAATGATAAATACACTCTGCTGGTGTTTTTAACTTGAGTATGTAATTCCGGGACAGTGTCCACTTTGAAAGTTTAGTTTGAAAGTTACTGAGCTGGACGTATTTATAGCAAATAACTGCTCTTCATACAGCAGCAAAAGCTTGCAAAATGTAAACATTGTAAACAAAAAACAAAAATAAGACCAGAATCGTTGCTTAACACATTATTCAGTTTACCCATTTCTACACATATAATTCATTACATGTCATTGAACTCATTCTTTTCCTTAAAACTGGCTTTGAAAAGTCAGCTGGCTTCCTTTGTATCAGAAAATGCCTTCAATAAATGGAACAGGTGCAAGCTTTAAAAGTGAACTATTTTTAGAGCGGAACAGGCAGAAGCAGCCCGTTATCTAGAAGCAGGGATCTTAGTATGAAAAGCATGTAAACTGAGGTCTAAAAAGGTAGAGAGCGGCCATAGCCATGGTCCAGCAGCTATTGCGAAGAGGAAGTGCCCACCCATACCTTCGTATGCCAGGTTACGTTCCAGCTCCTCTGATACTGTAACATACAGCGAAGGAGGAAAAGTCTGCCCCAGAGGACATGTATAGAAAAGACTCCGCGTGTCAGTACTTGCAGATGTTTTCATTTAGATATCTTTGATATACCTCAAAAGTGAAAGGAACAATGATTAAAACATGTCCTCTAGCCTACGTATTCCTGTAACATGGAAACATGCACAACATATTACTAATAAGAATACAATATTACTTAGTTACTCCATTTGTTCATTTAGCTACTGTGCAAACTAAGGCACCGACAACCAATCAAAATGCGGATGACTGAATTCAGAAATTCGTGTGTAGCCTATTTATTGTTTTTTCAGTATGTTTTAATTACAAATGCATGACTTACTTTGCATAACACGTTATCGGGATAACATCACTTCGGATTTCTGTGTAATATAATATAATCCGTATAACTGCTATTACCGTTTTAATTATCTGAATTGCTTATGGTTGCTGAATAGCATCAACCGATAAACATTGTTTTTACTGATGTGCAGTGAGATTCTGTCGCAATGCAGTTTGCTGGTATATTGGTCTCTCTGTATAGGCAATATCAATAAACGTTCTCCCTCATTCACTGAGCAAACCAATACATTCTTATGCAAATTCTTCCTTCAAACATGCAACAGCATTGTCATGGAACCAACGGGTCGTTTCATTAAAATGTGACGGTAATATTACTTATAACCTCCGTGACAAGATGTAGACACAACCAGCAGTTTCCTACTGTAAAAGATCAAGTATTAGCCTACTGCTTGCCCAGCTATCAGTCCAAATGTTAATCCTGGAGCATGTATGCATTTTAATCAGCGGCTTCGATGACGCCTCCTAAAACGTACATTAATGCTTTATAACCGACTGTTTTTATTAAGGTTGCGTTAATTTCTTCTTTAGCTCTTCCCTCTTGGCATGGCTGTAATCGAGCGTGAAAGACTGATCCCCTTGTAGGAAAAAAAGATGGAAACGTGCCAGGACCCGCCCTGGAACCAGCACCTTACCGAGAAGACAAGTGCGCCTCCTTCATCGCTGTTTGGCTTATTCATAGTCAGGGGTTTGGGTTTGGCTGTTTTTAAAAAGGCAAGCCTACTCTGAAGTTGATCAGTCTGCTTTTGAAAAGTTCTCCAGAGGGGAAAGTATTGGAATCTGTTTCAGAAGGGAGAGAAAAAAAATCCAAATTTAGGATTTTTTTTAGTAAAGATTTTCCTTTGCTTGCACACAGGACATCATTTCAGTATAAAGGACCTGTTTAGGGTATTCCCCAATATTAACAAAAAACTGGATTTTTTTTTTCTGTTGTAAAAAGGGAGAAATCTTCTCCACGTTCAGATCATTTTGAACCCTCATAGACATCTAAGCTGCATTATAAGCAAACTGCATCAGAAGAGAAAATACACAGGTGCGCGTGGATCCTCCCTCGTTTCGTGAGGGTCTGCCTAGATCTGTTTTTTTGAAATCTGATGACCGGAGGTGCCAAGCACATCCATTGATTTGTGTTACCACACTCTTTTGGTTTGGTCTTTTTTCTGAGAAGAATATGCTATTCGTTTTTTTCCTGCTGGTGACATTTTTCTTGGGACTGTCCCGGTGCCTGGGCTCCTATGTCCCCTGCGAGCCCTGTGATCAGAAAGCACTGTCCATGTGCCCTCCGGTGCCGGTCGGCTGCCAGCTGGTGAAGGAGCCGGGCTGCGGCTGCTGCCTGACCTGCGCTTTATCGGAGGGTCAGGCGTGCGGCGTTTACACCGGAACTTGCACACACGGGCTGCGCTGCCTGCCGCGGAGCGGGGAAGAGAAGCCGCTTCACGCCCTTCTCCACGGGAGAGGAGTGTGCACGAATGAGAAAGGACACAAACCGGCGCATCCAGCCGTAGGTAAGCAGATCTGATATAGCGCACATAATCTGCGCCATCCTCAGCCGATCGCACACTATTGTAACCATTTTCATTGATAACATTTGTAATGCAAATGCGCTTGTTTTCATAATATACACTCCATCGGAAAACACGCTGGATTCTGATTTCTTGCTTTTTAAAATCCCTCCGTTCTTTAAGTGTGCGGAATAGGTTCACCAGCGCAGTCCTACCTAAAACGGTGCAAAAACGGTTGACGTTTCATGTGTATCTGCAAACAGCGCTTGTTTTCACTCACAATACAGTAGCGAGTATTATAGTTATTTCTACAGTTGTGCTTCCCCCTACTACAACCCCTTTGAAGTTTCCTCTCCTTCTGTACGCTGCGTTTTATTCCGTCACACCAAAGTTTACGTAGGTTACATGGGTATACAGTAATAACTACAGCTGAATGTCCTCTAGAAAAATGTGCGTGTATATATATAGAGAGATGTCCACGTATATTTAGCACATTGTAGACATATCGGTAGAAATGTTGCTGTTGCTTTGCAACCATAACTTGCAATAGTTAGAAGCACGTGCGAGAGGTGGGGCATTCGCATGTAATAAAAATGTTATTAAGGTTATAAATTAGTTGTGTGAACAGAACTTGTCTGTATATTCTTATGCAATGTATAGCCTTATGTAAGAGCGCAGCATACCGTTCGTAGTTTCGGTTCAGCGGTTCAGTGTGTGTACGGGTAGCATATACGGGTATCTAAATCCAGGGAATTAGTAAATATAGCGAGATTAACTTGAAACCCGTTTTTAATTTGGCCCCATGCCATTAGATCAGTCTGTATCTCGTATGTCTGTCTAGATATCTGACAAGGCTGCATTCCGTGTCGTTAAAACTGATTGAGGCAAATGGAGAATCGGGGCGATTCAAAATAATTACTATTTATTTGATTGAAATTTGCTTGTAGCGTTTAATGTACGTTACAGTTTTACGACCAAAGATATCGTGATGTTATGTTTACTACCATAGTCACCAACCTGAGAATTTCTGAGAATAGTATCGATCGGTACTTTATTATTGTAGTGAGCATGTGAAAGGGCAGGTATGAAGATATTATTAAAGTGAATGAAGACGCTGTTTCCCCGGGGCGGTGAATCTTGGCTGGCCTGAATTTGGATTTATATCTTCTGGTGGTGTTGCAAGTCAGATAACTGTTCAGAGATTATATCTGTAAGGAAGAGGGTGATGATGGGGTGTGTGTCAGTGTGTGCATGTAGGAGGATAGCGGTAGGCGGCAGGGAGCCAAATTGAAGCGCTAAATAATTAGGAGTAGATAAAAATCTGATTTAGCGACAAGAATACTGACTGATCTCATGGAGGCTGCAGGATTTATACTAACCACAAAATGTGGGTGATCCTGAAAGGGGTTTATTACATAAATGTTATGTGTTTCTGTCTCAGACCGTCAAAACAGTATTACTTGTGTACCTATCTTAGATCTTGCACACCTAGAAAACTCTCAGGATGTATTCATGTGTTGAACAGTATTTTGTATATATGTATTTCTGTGTTCCTGGCATCGTTCTCTCAAGGCTGAATTTCGGTAGTTTTGAAAGGGTTACTTCTGTCTGAGTCAGGAGCACTCCACCCCC